TGCTTGCGCTGGCCGCTTTTAGCCAGGGACGTTGCGTGGGCTTCAAGCCTGGCACGCTTTGGTTTTCAAAACCACAGTGAGCACTGTCGTCCTGAGGGCAGATCTGCCTCGTGTCGGACAGACGGACGCGATGGTCGAGTGGCTCCTCTGGGGAGGGCGGCAGCTGTGACGGTGCCTCTCCTCTCCGTGCAGGACCAAGGCCCGGGGAGGCAGCAGCCAGCGGCAGCACCAGTCAGCAGCCAAGGACCTCACCCTCTCCCCCGAAGTCTCCAACCCCGCCACCATCCAGGTCACCTACCTGCCTTCCAACCAGAAGAGCAAACGTGCCAAACACTTCCTGGAGCTGAAGAGCTTCAAGGACAACTACAACACGCTGGAGAGCACCCTGTGAGCTGCGCAGGGAGCACTGCTCCAGGGACCTGCCATGAGCAGAGCCCCTTGCTGGGTGCAGCTGGTGTCCTGGGCGGGTTTTGGCCGCAGTTCAGCGTGCAGGCAGAGATGGGAGGAAGCATTTGCACTCTCGGGTCTCCCTCTTGCACAATGTTGGAGATCATCGCTCAGCGAAGGCTCCATTTCGGCTGGTGGAGTTTGGCCCTCGCCAGCAGCTTGTTTCAAAGCAGCGTGCCCGCCTGCTGAATCCAGGTCTTCTCCATGGCAGGCTGGGGACACACTTCAGGCTGGAGGCTTTGAGTCCAGCAATATCTTGGAGCCCTGGCCCTGTGAATAAACTGATTAGCTTTAGCTTATTTATAAAAAGACATCGATCCCAGCCAGCGCTCTCCTCCACCTGTTCTCTTTCCCCGTCATGGCCGGCGCGGAAATGATGCTGTCTGGCCGTCCTGTCTGTGTGGGTCTCGGGCTCTGGAGCCGCTCGTCTGTTCTTTCCAAAGAGTGAATGCTCTTCTTTTCCCTGTGGCACCATCGCTGCCTGCTGCTCTCAGCCAGGCGTGCCCAGCCTGTCTGTGTGCCCGGGCCATGCACCCTGCAGCGTGCCTGGACGGAGTGTAAATAGTTTGGTGGCCGGTTCTCAGCCATCGTGGCTGAGGTACCTCTTTGGGCCGCAGTTTCTACCTTTTTCTTGCAACTGGACATTTGGGGATGTCTCAAGCAGACAAATACCAGCTTTGAACGTCCTGTCTGTCCTGCCAAGGGGATGT